CGGGTAGTGATGACAAACTTATCCAATTCCTTATGACCCTAAACACAGTGCATGACTTAATTAAGTTTGACTATGAAAATCCACAACATCAGTAACATTTTTAGACACCAAGCATTTACCTAGATGAAAATAGGAAAACTACAAACAACACTACACACTAAAATCAATGTAACACCCACAACTATCTACACTTTAAGTCTTCCCAACCTAAACACCTGAAAGAGAACCTTCCCCTATTCACAAGCATTTAGACTCAGAAGGATATGTTCCAACAATGAAGAATTAAATAAACACATTGGAAATCTGGAGCATCAATTCACAACACGACTATAAACAAGACCTAATCAGGGAACAAATAAATGCTACCCAATTAACACCTAGAGAAGACACCCTAATATACAAGATTAAAAATAAATCCAGTCACATTCCTCTAGTAACCACTTTCAACCCCACTCTGCCTCCACTATCCCAAATAATCAAAAGTCGCTGGGAAATACTACATCTCAAACCAAACCTAAAAAATTGTTTAAGGAACCCGCCTTTCTTGCATATCGAGACCTAAGAACCTAAAAAGAAATCATAGGTAGTAACCACATTTCAGGGGACAAGGTAATCCGTAATAACCAACAAACAAAAACAACAAAATTTTCCCCAACCATAAACAACAAAAGAAGTTTATGCTGCAATCACATTAAACACATGAATTCATTCACTAGCTCAATCACTAAATCTACTTTCAAAATCTACCACGATTCTAACTGTAGAAGTCATAACATAATTTACCTCCTAGAATGAATGAAACTATACCAGAAACAATATGTAGGAAAATCTGAATGGCCCTTTCACTACAGAATTAATAATTATCACAATTGAATTAAATTGACTCCCCATGAAAAATTATTACCTGTAGAACAACATTTCCACCTAGAAAAACATGATTTCAAAACCCATGCCAAATTCACTATAATTGAGAGAATAGAAAAGTTCAGAGCAGATAACATTAGAAAGATTTTAGAGTTCCATGAAAATAAGTGGATACAACATTTAAAAACACACTATCCAGCCGAGCTAAACCATAAAATTAACAATATAGACAGTATTAATATATAACCCTACAAATCAAAACCTACCCACATTTCTCACCCACACAAGACAGACATGCTTACAGAGGTGTTGAGGCCTCATACTTATACACACACCCACACGAACATACACATCTAAACACATCATACTCACTCATCCCTAATGAGCCAAATGATAACACACACCCACAGCAATACACACGCTTACACATACCATACTGACTCACTCCCTAAGAACCAAATAGCACACACACACACCTAACAGAGACACATCCCCTATACAGGAACCAATGAAAATGTCAAACTGACCAAGGGAATTCAGAGCAGCATGAATCAATCCAGCTCTTATCTTAAATAACAACTTAAAAGAGACTGTTTGACCAACACAAGGAATGTTAAAATATTCATATTAAAAAGATAAAAAAAATAGAAAAACAAATGAAAACTACAGACAAAAGTTCATTTTTTCCATCAAGACATTCATTTCTGTAGTTCACTGCTACCAGCAAGCAGAAATATTTCTTCTCCTGATGATGGCCATTTTGGCTGAAACTAGTCGAGGAATCTAAATGAAATAATAATAATAAAAAATGAAAGAATATTAATCTACAACCCAGTGTGTCTGAAGATTTTAATTTTTTTAATATTTTTTAATTATTCAAAATATATATTTATTTTACAGTAAGTGTCACTATTTACAAAGACCAGGGGTGACTCGAAGTAGAGGTTTACATTAGGAGGTAATTTGTGCAGATAAGAGTGGAACATAAAGGTAAACCCTAGCCTTCAACAGGTTAAGATTGTAGTGATCAGGAAAACATCCTCTTGGGAGTTGGTTGCACAGAGCAGTGGTTTGTGGGAAGAAGCATGTCCTTGCTGTGAAGGTTTCAATTGGTGGGAACATAGTTCGTCTGAGCAGTTTTTGTGGAAGTAACGATAAAGCAGTGAAAGGCTTCCCATATCCTGCCTGTTGAAGAGACGTTGGATGGTAGAGAATAATTTGTCACCCACAAGGGATTGGAGAGGCTTTTGAACTTTATCAATAGTGGAGTCCAAAAATAATATATATATATATATATATATATATATATATATATATATATATATATAAGCAAGAGAGAGAGATAAAATTATTACATTTTATGATAGAAAACTGAACCCACCCACCTATTAACTATGTAAATTCATTGAAAATTGATCCCCAAATCAACACAAATATGCTCATACACCATATTTTCTTAGAATGTAAAAAAAAAAAAATTTGAATTTCATAATCTGAGGTTCTTTTTTCTCATATATTACCATCGATTAGGAGGCTATTACTATCATAAAGAGACATGGTGGTCTAATGGATAACGCCTCGGATTGAGGAATCAGAGAGCCGAGTTCAAATTCCAGTTGAATCCATTACATTCACTTACGTGCTAATACCCTTGGGAAAGGTATGAATCCTTTTCTTCTATCCCACCCCAGCTACGGGTAAATAGCAGGACAGACTTGGTTCTAAAGCCTTAGATACAACTGGTCTACTGCTGAAAGAAATGGCAACCTACTGTGGGAAAAAATCTGCCTCCTTAATCATGGATTGAAAGATCTCCAAAGAGTGTTTCAGGCATGGCATATAACTGACTGACTCTTTGTCTTTAATCTAGGCCTTTAATCTACCTTGACCTTTAATCTATGTTGGCGTGTAATCTAACTTAACCATTAATCTCTCTTGAACTTTAATCTATCTAAACCTTGGCCTTGGATGGCAACTGGTCTACTTCAGAAAGAAATAGCAACCTACTGTGAGGAAAAAAATCTGCCTCGTCAGTCATGTATCAAAAGATACATGATTGCCTAAGCGTGTATCATGCATGGCACATAACTGACTGACTTACTATTGATTAGAAAATTCAGATTACGAATTTCTAAATTTTTTTTTTTTTACATTTTACGATAACCTATATTGCATATTTGTTTTGCTTTGTATAGGGGGATCAATTTTCAATGAATTTGTGAATTTGCATTAAAAACTGAACCCCTTGTAAAAATTTTTTTTTTTTTTTTTGTTTTGGTATTCTTGATAAGGAATGCTTAATCTATATTATTACGAAAAAGAATTTTCCAAAACATTATTATTTCTGTTCAAATTGCCAAATGATACGTTTTGGCAACAAAGTTGTTCCTCATCCACTGTAACTGTCAGATGGTGAGATCATCATTTATTTATTCAAGCCTTTACAGAATAATTCTCATCATGGAAAAAAAAAAAATCCGTTGAAGATTGCAATGGGCATCAACTTGTATGCTCAGAATGATAAGCATATCTGGAAAAAATTACGAAGTTCTTTGAAAGATGGCAAAGATGTGAAACAAAAGCATTTTGTTCATAAAGTTCAAAAATAAGATTAAAAGAATTTAGTCTAAATAGACAGCAATTGTTCATTTAACCCTTTGGAATTTAACATACCCCAAACATACCCTATAAATATCGGCTCTCAATGTTCAACCTGACATAACTCACCCTATGTATACTGCTACATGACATCATCTCAGGTAATGTGGAAAGTCATGCAAAAAAGAGAGAATTTAAGAGCTGATATTTACAGGGCAGGTTTCAGTGTGTTGAATGCTAAAAGCTAAAACATATTTTATTGAAAAGTAGAGATATTTTATGTCTATTAAGTTTGACCTTCTTTATTTTCAGTTTTTCTAAATTGCGAATGATCTTTCTTCCATGATAATGCAAGACTGTATGTTGCAAAACAGACCTTACAGAAGCCTAAAGGGTTGAAATGGGAAATCCCATGGTCTCACACCGTATTCTCCTGATTTGGCCCCTTTGGATTTTCATTTGTTCTGGTCTCTACAGAACAATTTAAATGACAAAAATTTTAACTCTGTATAGTCAGAAAACTACCTCACAACCTTTTTCCAACAACAAAAAAAAAACAAAAAAAAAAAAAATAATTTCTCTGAAAATGGTATCAACAAGCTTGTAGAACGATGGTTTGGTTTGGTTTATTTTGTTTTACGGCATATCAACCTCAATGGGTTATTTAATGCTGGTAACATTTTTTATTGCTGGTAATATTTTTCCTTCAAAATTGTATTGCTGGTAATAATTTTTTTCAAAAAAGTATTACTGGTAATAGTTAACTATTTGCCCATAGCTGGGACCCTAACAGGTGCTACCACCCTGCCTCATGGTGGACATGGGAACACCAGCAATTAAGAGGCGGTTCCACGCTCCTCAAAACCTCCTGATCAGAGGCCTTGCTGCTGGATGTAGTTTAACGTCTTACCTAAGACGATGTAGAATGATGGGAGACAGTTATTAGAAACAAGAGAGACTACATACTTGACTAGTAAACGTTTTTTTGTGAGTATGTAAAATTTTGCTTTTAATTTTCTAATTGGTATAAAATTTTTTAATGATCTAATACTAGATATAGATACGAGATATAGGCAGATGTTAACTGGTATGGCACAAAAGGTATTAGGGTGCATTTTGCAAACCTGGCTGCTGCAGATGTACGAAATTTCCCAAACCAATTGCCATGTCCAAGTTTTCGACTGATGGGAGACATCATCAGGGGTATGTAGGTAGTGAATTTATGACCATTATAAACAGTTACTGTTTAAGTAAAATAATGTGAAGAAAATAATAAATGGAAAATTTTTTTTTTTTTAAATCTTATCAACCCATTGAAGGTTATTTAAACTCAGAAAATATTTTTATATTGTAAGAAGTTTTTTTAGAAGGGTATAATAATTGTTTAATGATACAAGTCTTACTAATTAACCCATATCTAGGGGAAGAAGAGATGGATTCATATCTTTCCCAAGGTTATTTGTTCCTAAGTGAATATAACAAACCCAATGGAAATTGGAACTTGGCTCTCTGACTAAAAATTCTGAGCCATTATTCATTACACCACCTGCACATTCAAGCTGTCACCCATCTAGGTACTGACCAGGCTCAACATTGCTTAACTTTGGTGATTGTATGGGAACTGGTGTTTCAACATAATGTGGTTGTAAGTCCCTGGTACATTTAATGTCATTATATTTTAAATTGGAACAAATAAATCCAAAATGCAAGCAGTCTTGTCCATTGTACGTCACTGTAATATGCATTACTTATTAAATTGAAAAAGCATTCTATTAACACTAACAATGAAAATGGTATCAGCTGAGAAGATTAGAATAAAAGGCAACAATAAAAAGACAGATTAAAAGTAATTTTCCATTTCATTTTTGAGATGAGGTATTGTTGATATGCTTGATTATTGTTATCTGGATAGTTAAAGATGTTATTATTATAGCCACTTAAAGGACAACTCTACATTCAAAACCTGTGGAGGGTCATTTGGGGACCTTGTGGCACGTAGTGCACCAGGTCTCTGTATTCGGCTCTTCAAAAAGTGTAGTTGGTTCTGCACAAAGCTTTCACCACTAGAATCAAATCTCATGGGCTGGTGTCTGGCTGTCAGTTCCTAGGAACTGAGCTGCTCAACCTTCATACGTCGAATACAACGGGAGAGTCCACCATTATACACATAACATTTCGACTAAGTACCCTATGGCCATTTTCAGGTGTTCATTGTTTTGGCTAATACAGGATATTTGTTTGAAATTTTTTTTTTTATATTTTTTTTTAATATTGTTCACATGGCCCAAGAGTCACTCAAGGTAAAGGGTTACTGAATGAGATTGGTGTAGGGGAGGAGAAAGAGGTGGCTATTATAAGAATATGTAGGATAGATATCTGTTGACCCTAGACTTAAAGAGGTTAAGATTGTAGGATTGAGGAAGAATCCCCTTGAGAGTCTGTTTCACAGAGTGACAGTTCTGGTGAAAGAAACACGAGGGAGATGAGGATGATTTGACGCTGTGTACATGGCATGACAGGTCTTCTTAGCTGTGAAGGTCTGAACTGGTGAGACGAAGGAATGTAGCACATTTGAACGTTTGCCATAGTAACAGTGATAGAGAAGTCTGAGGCTAGCAACATTTTATCTGTGGGTTCCAGGATGGAAAATAATTCATCACCCATAAGGCGCCTCGGCAGTTAGGACTGGGCAGCCATACTCCATTCTTGGTCTGATCTGATTCTGGAAAAGATAATTATTGTGTTATTTTGGCCCTGTGATCACTGTTCTCTCTCATCTAGTGGTCATGAGTTCAATCCCTGGATCAGATAGTGAAACAATATACATTGGTTCAGCATGAATGAACAATGGTATCACAAGGGCAAAATAACACAATGATCAACATATGTCCCGTATCAGCGAAGGCACTTAGCTGAAACAATGAGTTTAAATATCTCGAATACTGAAAGAGGAACAACAGTCTGAATAAAATGAAGCAGATTAAAAATAGCCATAAAATATATAACAGAGAAAATGTTCCTTTTAAAAAAGTGAAAAAAACGAAATTTATTAATCCTGGACCTATTATGTAGCAACAATATAAAACCTCCTTTGCTACTCAAGAATTACCAACCCACTACATATAACAAACTAGATTGTCAATCAGGATGCTTCTATCAGAATAATTAAGTCTCATCCATTGCCCAGTATGAAGAAGGATCTTTGGTTAATTTGCAGAGTAAGTACCAAAAGCCCACAGTAATGAAAATATTCCATTATGGTATGAAATTGCCTAATAATTTAAAAAATGTCATTAAAAGTTTGTGCTCTCTTACCATTCAGGAGTTATAGACAATGTAAGTTTAATTTCTTTCGCATTATCCAACTGCCATTTCTGGCTTTGTTTACATATATTTGCCTCGAGTAGAAAGGAGTGGAAGCTGACATTGTTAACGACCTTTTTACTGGTTTTTATATCTCCTTACTCATCTTGATTACTGTGCAATTTTTGCAAAAGTTATTTTAAAATGTGCTTTCTTTTTAAAATGAAGCTGTAAATGAATAGTTTTTATTTAATTGGCATAAATTCCTTTATTCCAATTAAAAGTATTGTTTCTTTGTAGAAGTGACATGTTATTAAATAATTCATTTTTTTTCTATTATTATTATTATTAAATTAGTTATAGAAATTTGTTATAGAAACAATTGAAAATTTGAATAAACATAAATCATGGGTGAAACCTTTTTCTAAAAAAAAAAAAATCATTAAAAAAAGAAAACCATTTTTTTTTAATCCTTTCAGTCATATAATTTTGATTTTATTTTTAATTTTTTTTGCTATATTTGGAATGGTGCATTTATTTTAAACTGTGCACATTGCACAGTGATCAAGACAAGTGAAGCTTCCACGCTGCATCACTACTCAAAGCAAATGTATGTAAAAAAAAAAGCCAGTAATGGCAGCTGTTCTGTCAATGCAATGTGAAAGAAATCCAACTTACATCGTCCATAACTCTTAAACGGTAAGAGAGTGCAAACTCTTAATGTCATTTTCAAAATAATCAGGCAATTTCACACCATAATAGAACATTTTCATTACTGTGGGCTTTTAGTACTTATACTACAAATTAACCGGATCTTTCTGCATGATGCTATTGTGCTTCAACGTTGCAAATCTGCTGTTAGATTCTGCCATTGACTACATCCAACATCTTGTTGCTGATATCTTCACAGTTAATAATCAGATCTCATCCATTGGCCAGTATGAAGGATTTTTTGCAGGATGCCATTGCAGTTCAATGCTGTAAATCTGCTCTGTTAGATTCTGCCATTGACCACATCCAACAGCTTGTTGCTGCTATCTTCACTGTAACATTGGTAGAGGTGGCTTTCACGTGCTATGACTTGCCAAAGGGCCAAACCTGTGATTTGGTGCCAGTGCCACATAAAATTTTGAATTCAGTGCTATCCTTCTCCTAGACTAACTGACAAACATGTCTAGAGAACCCAGTCTGCTCTGCTATATGCCCCATAGCTGGGAGGGGGAGAAGATATGGATTTATATCTTTCCAAGGATATTTGCACATAAGTGAATGAAAGAAACTCAACTAGAATTCAAACTTAGCTCTCTGATATCTTATTTGAAAAACAATATCCATTGCACCTTCTGTACATGCACATATTTGGTCAATTTTGGCACAAAGCCAACATTGCTATATTTGCCCAAGGATGAGAACATGTGAATGGTATTGTCAATAAAAGATGATTTTCTTTTAATATCCTGCCACATTCCTGCTGTGTAGGTCTTGAAATTCATCAATTCTTTAACACTGATCATTATTTCTATGCTTGCAGCAGGTGTTGTCTCTCTTGACCAGCAGTTTTCAAACACGTTGTGCCCTAGCTTAGGGTATCACAATGAATAATTGATGTTGTTACAAAGTTTTAAAATCATCATAGCAAGATAAAATTAGAAAAGGAGGGTAGGTGGAATCCTGGAATTTCTGAAAAGCACAGAGACATAGAGTAATGGATTGCGGCTCAGATTGAGGAATTGGAGAGCTGAGTTCAAATTCCAGTTGAGTTCATTACATTCACTAATACCCTTGAGAAAATTATGAATTCATCTCTCCTCCCCCCAGCTATGGATAAATTACAGGACAGACTGGGTTTGATAACCTTGGGTGGCAACCAGTCTAAGAGTAGAAAAAACTCTGAATTCAAAAACCTCCAACTATTGCTAAATAGTTGGGTAGTCTGGGCTCTGCAGCCATGGTTGGCAACCAGGTTAGGAGAAGGACAACTTTGAATTCAAATCCAGAGCTGGATTCTCTAAGATAGTCCAAGGTCATGTTTCATTTTAGCAACTCCTATGACAACGCTGGTGCCAAGCTGCACTGGCTTCTACTTTTCCCTCGGACAACATTGGTGGTGTGGAGAGGAGAGACATATTTCATGGGCAACTGCTAAGCTCTCATAAAAAAAAAAAAAAAAAAAAATCTGTCCAGGCCTGCACTCCTTTGGTGTAGATCCATAGTCTCTTGAAACTGATGGATACCAATATAATAGCTTAAAAAAAAAAAAAAAATCTTGTGACACTTATTTTATTTTTAGGGCTTTAAAGCCTTTTAACCAAGAGAAGAGCTGGTGATGAGTCAGCAGCTTGTTCATATACTAAAAAATATTTTATACATATACTGCTTCATATATGCAACAAACTGACTCATGGATTATCACTGCCTGCAAATATCTCTGATGCTGAGATCTAGACCTGCCTACAAGAAGAAAAATTTCTACCTGTTGAATTACACACCTGAGGAATATTGAATAATACATTAGCTAAAGTGTAATGATAAAAATCAGCAAGGGTAAGCAGGTAAGCATACAAGTTCATCTGACTCTACAAATCAAGACAAAGACTTGTTTCAGAGAAGTTAATATAAGGGTGGAGAAAAAAATTAAATGAAAGAGTGAAGTGTTAGCAGTTTGCTTGTGAGAGGAATAAAATAAACAACCAAAATAGAACAAGTGCTGTGACTCTGCTAGAAATAAATTTTTGTCAAACAATACACAGAAAACATTTTCCTGAAAGCTTCATTTAAACTTTGATATGTTAAGCACCTGGCTGTTATTTTTATATTAGAAAACAAAAATGCTTCTTTTAAAAAACAAAAACTTAAGATCTTAGGACATTTTATATAGTTAAAAGAAAAAAGCTTTTCAATTAATCTTTCATATTTTTGGTTTCAAAAAGGCATCCAAAGAAATTGCTAATAATCCATTCAAATATGACTGCTTGTCAATGTTATTGATCAAATTTCAGTTTTCTCACTAATCTACTAACATTTCACTAGAACATTGGATAAATTAAGTAGAATAAATAATTTAATAAATAATTTTGTCTTTATTTTAGGCTCAAAAATAGATAATTATCTTTGTTAATTATATAAAATCAACACAGTGTGTGTGAGAAAAAAAAAGGTATAAATAAGAATTTTTTTTTTCTCTTTTCTTTGAAATTCATTAATCCTGTTCTAAATGTACACAAGGAATAATCCATAGTCACAATATGACTGTTTTTAGCAACATTCACTTTGTCAATGTTGCTAATTATTGAATCCTTCAGTTTATTGGAAAAAAAAAAAGAAAAAAAAA